CAGAAGGACCCCGTAAAACAGCCCCTCAAAGGCCGTCTAAAAAGTGGCCTGGAGTAGAGAACAGCCAGGGAGCTGCCCCATTCCCAAGCAGGGATCCAGAGCCCGGAGGAACAGGGATGGGGAGTTCCTACCCTTCTCTCGAGGCAGGAAAGCACTGGTTCTGGGACACCTCTCCAGGGCAGCAGGTTCTGCTCACGATTCCTTCCCATCAGCAACCTTGAGCCTCATCACAGTCCTGCAGGCATGTGCCTGCAGCCCCGTCAAAGGACAAGCAGTGGGATCAGGAGCTGGCCAAATGCAGGAATGGGGCTGGAAATGCTGCCAAGTGCAGTGCCAGGGCAGAGGTGAGCCAGGGAGAGCACAGAACCTTTGTCATACCCGTGAGCTGCACAGGGGGTCTCCAGAAAGGTTTATCTTTTTATTAAAAATTTAAGGAAAGAAACAAAAAAGAAAGAAAGAAAAAGAACCGGGAGTCAGCCAGCCCGAGCTGCCACCCTGTGGCTGGTCCCCGGGTTTTCTGTGCTGGAGAAGAATCCTGGTCTCAGTTTGGTCCAGGTGGTCCTAGGAGCCATCCTCCAGCCACTTCAGGGTGGCCACCGTCCCTCACTGAGCCCCAATTCCTCACTACTGAGCAAGTGTCAGGCTGGGTCTCTGCAGAGGGGAGCTGCTGGAGAAGGCAGCATGGACATGTCAACTCCTTGAAGGCTTTGCAGCCACTGCAGCTGTGTGCACACAAGGCGCTGCTGCTGGGCCACCTCATGCTGTCCCTCGAGCCCTATCCAGCTCTTCCTACCTTCCCCTGCCTGTGCCCAGGGCTCTCCATGTCATCCTTCTCCCCCATTTCCAAGTGTCTGCCAACACCCATCCCTTACTGGGGGCTGCTTGTACCCTCAGGACACACTCTGGCACCTCTCCTGCCTCCTTCTGGCCCTTTCAAGCCCAAATTTAATTTGCTTTTCTCTGGCCAGTTGTATCAGGCAATGGAAATAGAGTAAAACAAGACATTTTGTTTAGCATGTGAATTTTAAATCAGTTCCCTGATTCAGGTATTTCATTATTGTGCAAATATTTCTATCCCTGTGAAGTGGTCTGGGGGAGGAGCACAGAGCTGGGGACAGTGGCACTCCTCACCTGCTTAGGACACAGCCTGAGGCCTGGAAGAGCTGCAGCTGCAGCTGTCACCTCCCCCTGCCCTCGGGTGCATCCATTACAGAGCAGAGGGTGCAGAGTACCTGGGGCTGCTACGGCCCAGGCACCCGAGGAGTGTCCCAGGAGCAAGGCTGGAACCAGGACACGTGTGACCTGGCCCTGCCATGGTGTGGGGTCAGAGGCACAGGATCTGCCAGAGATAAAGCGATGACACCCCTCCACACACACGTCCCTTCTTGCCAATGCCATGTGGGTCCCTTGGCTTGAACCAGCCTCTGGCATGAGGCAAATGCCCAAAGGGCTGGACATGTGATCAGAGGCCTGATGGCTGGAGCAGGGCAAGATACTTTTGAAGTCCATAAGTATCTTGCATAATCTGTATTTAAATTACATGGCCTTGGCTAGAAGTGATCTGAGGCCTGGGAGAAGGACTTGTCTGCCTGCTCCCTCTGCCAACCCCACAGGGCCCAGGGAGGGTCAGTCTGCCCCAAAAGGTCCTGTTGGAATCAGCAGCAAGGCATGTTATGATCAGATTCTTGAAAATTATTAGAAAGATGCCTCTGCCCAAATTAAGGTGCAAATCAGACCATATGTCAAAGTCAATAGCACAGATTTTTATTTAATGGTAATTGGGAAGTAGATTATTATGCCCACATAATCACACCCTGAAGAGGATAACAGAGAGTCAATCCCAACCAAATATCCAGCCCACACCATGCAAAAATAATTCTCAATATGTTTTTCCATGATGAGTGCGAGTGGCTTGAGCACCACTGCTCTTGGAAGGCAAGAATATAAAAATTAGTCAAATCTTTAGAACTCCACATGTCATTTTTTGATCCACAGACGCCGTATGTTCGGCTGCTGTAAGGTCTGCTCAGATCACCAGCTAATGAGCGGCACAACCGTGTGTGTCCCAAAAGCTGCCCTGCTCCCCACCCTCCAGCCCGTCCCCAGGGAGGAGCTGGGGCGTCTCCAAAGCCTGGCTGTGAGCCGTGAGCCGACGGCGTCGCATGGTGACAATGTGCCGCAGGCGAAGCTGTCCGGGATCCCGTGGGACTGTCCGGGATCCCGTGGGATTGTCCGAGATCCCGGGATCCCCACGCGGCCCCGTTCGCAGGCTCAGCAAGTGCTTCGGGGGTCCCAAGGTCCCTCTCCCCCCCAACATGTGGGGACAACACGGGGGCTGCTGTCTCGCCTTTCCGCCG